CCCGTAACCGTTTGATAACGGACACTAGAGGCGCCCCTATCGTGTGTCATATTTCAAACATTCAAATTAACAATTTTAATTCTTATTTAAATTAACAATATTAATTATTATTATTCATTTGGCCCATAAATTATTATTTGGTCAATATAACAATATAAATAATTCAGTATATTTGTAATAGGAATTTATTATTTCAGGGGCTTATATCTCGCGAAGGGTTGCGAGTAGGGGTATGGTTCCTTTGACTTTATTCTTCGCACAGGGGCTACAGTTTGGGGGGTCGCCACCTCTTCACTCGGCGGGTAAATCTTACCATTGGGACTTTAACAGAGCTGTACAGCATATTGATAGGAACAAAAAAGTCAAAGGAACCGTGCCTCATGGAAATTTGTAAATAACGCCCACTAGGGGGCGTCCCAGGCTACTAGTTAGTATAGATTATATACAAATCTGTCTTGTTTATACATTTCTCAAAAATTATTCATTTAGAAATACTGTATAATTTTAAATCTATGTCAATTTATGAGTTTAAAATATTTTTAAAAATAAGAAATCAAATATAATTATATCAAATAATACAAAACATTACAAGTCTGCCAAAATTATGATAAATGAAATTGGCAGGAAGCCATGCATTACTGGTGAGAAAACAAAGGCTAATAACAGTTCAAAACAATGGCACAGCCAAGAGGGGATACAAGGAAGCAATTGCATCACTTGCTACTAATATCCATTTTTTTTAATAGTTTAAATTTCTTTATATGTAAGTGTAACAGTAAACTAAGTAAAGCCATTTGCTACATAAGTATAAATTTAAACCGTACAACCTTTCGTTTTTGAATATAATATTCAGTAAAGTAATTATTTTTCCCTTTCACATTCACATGAAACTAATGATTCAAACTTTGTGTGTATGATTTGTTTACTGATTTCATGTAATTCTTATTTATATATAAATTCAATTGCTATAAACCAATCACATACAATAATATATATAGGGTGTTTCAAAATTTCTATTACAAATTTATAGATGGATTCCTTAAGAAAAACTGACAAGCAAGAGAAAAATGTTCAGTAATTTTTATTAAATAAAGCCTTTATTAAGGAGTTATCGATTCAGTAGCATCATTAGGTTTTCATACAAATGACAAATTCACGTTTTATTCTTTTATTTAAATTTCATGGTAGAATACATGTAAAATCAGGTGATCTTCCTTCTACTTTATGACATAAGTTGCCAGTGTCTGTGTATTTCATTGTTTTTATATCTGCTAAATGGTTGTAATAATTTATTTAAAAAGTAAAAATTTATTGTATTTACTTAGAAAGTATTTGTTTAACGAAATTGTTATCAGATGCATCAAATTTCAGAAAAGCTGTCATTGACTTTAAATGTCTGTAATTTGTTAATAAAGACTTTATTCAAAAATTATTACTGAACATTTTACTTTCCCAACTGTTAAGTATACATAACAAGAGAAAGTATGGAAATCGTTTCAAATTTGACCCTCTGAGTTTTTTGCAAATCTCCATGTTTTGGGATCTCCTGAATAAAAAAAAAAAAAAGCAAAAAATTCTGTGGATATGCATGTGTGTTGGCATCTATTTCATTTAACATCTCAGGATAGGATGAAGATTACAAAATGAAATTTGGCACAATAGCTTGTATAAAGGGCATTGATGCTCTTAAAATTTGGTGGTAAAAGGTTGAGGATGTGGGGAGATAGAAGGGGGTCATGTGTCATATCTCAAGTGGAATCAGACTTGAAGATGTTATACGTTATTAGCATTTACAATGTTTTATGAAACTGATCAATACCCTCAAAATTAAGCTTTTTGCTATTTGATGATAATTAAAAATATACAGTTTTCATAACAAAATCACATAACAGATGGTACCACACACAATTTTAATTATTACATTGTAATTAAAAATATAAGTTATATTTTCTAAATAAAATCTCATAACAGTTGGGAAAGTTATGCTACTCATTGCTGGATTCTTTATTTTAGTTTTCCTTAAGGAAATCGTCCTATAAGTTTGTAACAGGAATTTCAAAACACCTTGTATAACATATAATTTATGTATTTCACACTGTATATTTATTCACACAACATTCACTACTACTAAAATTTTATAGTTGCATCCCCCTTGCTAAATTTCTGACTGCACTACTGCTTCAGAATTTAACAGAAAATTAATTTTTACACAAAATCTGTTCAAAATGTTATTGTTGAGAGATGGAATTTATAAGTTTTTAAACTCTGAAAAATATGAATGAAAAAAAAAAAAAAATACAGGAAAGCATGGATTAAATTTGATGCATTTTTAAACAGCACTAGTTGAAATAAAAAAAAATTCTTAAATTTTATCCATTAGTATATAATTTTAAAGAACCAGAATAAATTTTGACATACTTTCTTCTTTTTTTTTTTTTAAGTTTTTAGGGACATAACAAAATGAAAGTTTTCTGTTAATGTCACAACATAATAATTAAATCAAAAAGTTAGGAATGAAGAAACTAGTTTTGATGATAAGGAAAATGTTTAAATTTAGCTTATTTACACAAAACATTTTATTATACTAGTTGTTAGTAATATAAATAAAATAATAAGAATTAAATCTTCTTACTTCAAATGACCGGAGCAAAAATTGTTTCTTTAGTGCTAATGTTTTCGACGCCACTCCTGGACTCTTCTTCAGGCATTTACTTAAATCTGTTGCAATCTGATCTTTAAACTTTTGAACTTCTTTAGTAGGCATTCAATTTCGACAGACCCAGACATTACAGCCGAGTTTGATGAAACGCATATCATCCTCACCACCCTGCATCACAATCACCAGTGGTGGCCTTAGGGGGTGGCGAGCAGGGCAATCGCCCGAGGCCTCGCTCTTGGAGGGGCCTCACGCAACAACCAAGTAGAAAAAAGTTGATATTTAAAACTTTTTATTTTATCTTTGGCTATTAGTTATAACAATAAAATAAATTTAATTTATAGTACAGTATATATTAATATTAATAAGTGCCTACTATTTCAATTCACATACTTTGCACAAAGGACAAGGGCCTCGCAAAGATCTGCTGCCCAGAGCCTCGCAATGGATAAGACCGCCGCTGACAATCACCTCAAACTATTGGAGGCAATGGATATATTTAAGGCAGGATGCAAATCCACATGCATTAATTTTAAAGATGAAATGTCACTTTCTACGGCATGGCAAGTCCTAATGGATGATAATATTTAATTTTATTTACGTTTATAATGTTTTAAATTAAAAAACAGTTCACATTTCAAATCTCATAGTAGGATATGATGTTTGAATAAATTGGAATGCATGCACATTTGGAATACAAAATTGAATGCCTTCTAATGAAGTTCAAAAGTTTAAAGACCAGATTGCAATGGATTTAAGTAAATGCCTGAAGAAGAGCTCAGAATGGCATCGAAAATTTTAGCACTAAAGAAACAATTTTTGCTTCAGTCATTTAGTTTGAAGTAAGAAGATTTAAATTTCAACCCAGTGTGTTAGGAAGTTAAATAATAAAAATTAAATTTAATAGGTTGTTTCTTTATGCTTATAACATATGTTTAAAACAGTTAAGAAATATTGGTAATCATAAAAAAAATAGGCCTAGGTTTTGTCTTATTCAATAGTTCGAATGAGAAAAATCTTAAAAAAATTTTTTGTATCAAATTTCCTTTCTTGAGTACTGTAATTAATATTAGACTTTTATTCAAATGTAGAATAACTTATTCAATTGATATTACTGTCATTTAAATGAATAAATATTGATTTATAATTGATTTGAATAATTAAATAACATAAAATTAATCTGATTAATCTTATTTGTATCATTCAAACATGTCTGGTAAATGTATTATTATAAAATAAATACAAAACCTTTCAACAGTCCAGCAAAATGTTTTAATATCTTAAAAACGTTTTTGAACGCTTTAAGCGATCATCCTCAGTTATTCTCCTGAATTGAACAAGAAATTCAAAAAGTATGCAAAACAAAACTTCAAAAAAAAAAAACAGTTATACAATTTTACATTAACACGTAATATGCTTTTAAAAAAATTGCGATTAAATATAAAAATGAACTAATATGCATAAAGAAAAATAAATAACAAATAACCAAACGTTATACATCCAGTAAAAATCATCACAGTTAATTATGCCGCTTATATAGATTAAGTCAATTTATCATAGAAAGACCTCCATGTGGACAATAACCTGTTGGCATCTCTATGATTGATGCAGTGTGTGTTCATCTGCACCTTGTGAATTTCTAATTTTTCTAGATATTTCACCACCTGCTTGGATCTTGTAGCTTTGAATGTATTATTATACAATTAAACTAGAAACATTTTAAAATTTTCCAGTTGGATAAAGATCCAACATCTAACCTTTCTGCTCAACTATCCAAGTTATTGTCAAATAACA